GCTTCTATAGCCTTGGATGGCAACTGGTCTAGGAGGAGGCCAACTCTGAATTCAAAACCTGCCTTCAAAAAATGTGGTTGTTCCTGTACGAAACCATCACCACTATAATCAAATCTCAAGTGTGATGTTATCGGGCTGTCGGTTTCAAGGAACTGATCTGCTTGACCTTCATACATTGAATTCGACTATATATATATATATATATATATATATATATATATATATATATATATATATGGAGAGAGAGAGAATACTATACCTGATATCACAGCAATATTCAATCCACGGACGAATGTTAGAATTTTTTAATGTACAAGATGAATTCTGTCGAGAAAAATTGTCTGGTACGACACAGTGAACCATCTTTCCTAGCAGCAGTCCTAAAATTCATTGAAAATCTGGAAATAAAATTATTAATTGTTAGGTGTTAATGTAAATACTTCCGAGACTATGTGCCTCTCATCTTTATATTATAAATGCTTGGGAACGTATTTATAATACAATACATTGTAGATTAGTTTATTCTAGGAGTAAGTCGATTAATTATCTGAGAACAATATCTGATTATCATAATACAATACTTGAATTTATAATTTAATTATACTCTATTTACATTTTCCGGACTATCGTCCTCATCTTTGTTGCCATATTTATCACAACGTTTCGGCCGTTGTACGCTCCGGCCTTCTTCAGGTTGTCTGAAGAATGTAAATAGTGTATATAATTCCTCATCTCAGAAATATAGACAGATATTTAATTATACTGTTCATGACATCTATACTGCGAATAAATATACTACACGATATCATATTTTATTATGGATTTCAATGCATTTATAATAAAAGTTTAAAAAACGATATTGGCTAAAAATTAGAAAAGACAGAGGGAAGACACGTGACCGCGTTGGAAAAATGTGTGAATCCAGATGTGCTATAACATTACAGAATCCTCAGTAAAATGTATCAGATTTTTGCAGTTAAATGTATCAGATTTTTGTATTACAATAAATTCTTTTTGTTTTTGTGGGGTTCTGTACTTGGAGTGTTTTACATCACACAAACACACACCCTCACACATCCCCCCCATATATATATATATATATATATATATATATATATATATATATATATATATATATATATATATATATATATATATATATATATATATAAAGTGTTCAATATCAGAGATAAAGCGTGCGTAAATATAAAAGTGAACATAGAAGTCAACACTTAGATGGTCTAAGTGTTGACTTATGTTCACTTATATATATATATATATATATATATATATATATATATATAAACTAAAGAGCCAGACAAACCTACCTAGGTTTTACCTACGCGGTTCATCAGGGTACGCTGGCCAAAGAGGAATATTAGAACAGAATATAAATAGCCTACAGCCTAAAAACATAACCATTTTTTCTTTTTTTTTTTTTTTTTTTTATTCCTTATTTTCCTTGGGTATTGGTTTGTTCATTTACAAGCCAAAACACCTAACGTTTTTCCTGACGGGTATAATTACTTATATTTAAAAAATTATTATTATTATTATTATTATTATTATTATTATTATAATCATAATATATATATATATATATATATATATATATATATATATATATATATATATATATATATATATATATCTTAATACGACTAACTTTATCATCGAATAGCTATTGATAACTTGAATAAAAAAATACTTATAGTTTATGAGAATGCATTTAAGTGAGAAAAGAAAGCATACAATATAGATGTTACTACAGACAGGCATTGAATCACAGAAAAAAAATTTTTTATCAATTATTAAAGGCAAGTTTCAGCGACAGATTATTACGTGTATAATACTTGTCATTATTGGATTAATATTAATAATTTTGTCTTTGGGAAATAATCTTGAATAAATTTGATATCAATATAGCACAACGTCTTTTTGAAACTTGAAAGTTTTTGGGTGGAAGCGGATGGTTTTGCACTGAAAAGTCGGTTATGGCGTTCGTTTGAATACATAGGAGGATGAGGCCTCGTCTTGTCTATTATCATACAGTCGAGTTTCTATGACTGCTGACGTGATTCGTTAGGTATGCACACACACGCGAATGCAACTGCACCTGCATGACCTCGGATTATTCATAACTATATGTATAGATATTATGCATGTTGGTTTAAACACAACACACACTCTGATATATATATATATATATATATATATATATATATATATATATATATATATATATATATATATATATATATATATATATATATATATATAGGAATATTTTTAATGAACTTTTTATTCAGACATTATTTTTTGATGAGAAACTGATCAAAGTGATTTCGTAATAGAAGCGCCCCTGCCCCCGATGACAAAGGAGATACGGTTTCAATCCCCATTGGGGGGCAATCTTTTTCTTCGCTAGGCGTCCCCAGTATTGGACAGTTGTTATTAATTACATTGTTTAAGAAAAACAACAACAAACAAAAATAAGCAAACAATGAAGAAACAGGGATAGCAACATAAACACGTGTATACATTAAATATAACCTTTATAGTAAGAAGAACTATATTTAAGATACATTACAAAAACGCACACACACATATATATATATATTTATACATATATATGTATGTGTGTTGGTGTGTATAATTTATATATATAGGTTTATGACCAAGGGAATTCAGAGCAGCATGAATTCCTCCACCTCTTATCTTAACAATTTAAAAGAGATTGTTTTACTAACACAAGGACTGACTAAAGTTCATGTGAAAAATAAAAATGAAAAAAACAATGAAAACTACAGACAAAAGTTAATTTTCTCCATCAAGACATTCATTTCTTTAGATCAATGCTACCAGCAAGGAGAATTTTTTTTCCTCCTGAAGATAGCCATGTTGGCCGAAACTAGTCGAGGAATCTAAATGAAATAATAATAAAAACGAAAGATTATTAATATACAACCCAGTGTGTTTGAAGATTTTATATTATATTATTTATTATTCAATATATATATATACATATATAAATATAAATTTATATATATATATATATATATATATATATATATATATATATATATATATATATATATATATTATATATATATATATATATATATATATATATATATATATATATATATATATAAATTTATATATATATAAATAACATAATGGATTCCGATCCATATTTTAACTGCATTTGATCTTTAACTTGTATCCTTATATGGAATATAATTTTTCAGTATCCATTCTAATAAACTTATATTGTGGAATCAATATAACTACAATTATTCATATTAATACGGTCACACAGACACACACAAACACACACGCATACACACACACTCATAACTCTCTATCTATCGATCCATCTACCTATCTATCTATCTCTTTCTCTCTCTCTCTCTCTCTCTCTCTATATATATATATATATATATATATATATATATATAGCTCAAGTTTATGTATATATGCATATGTAAATATTCTCTTCATGCATACACACAGGTATATATATAATATAAATAATGTATATTTATATATATATATATATATATATATATATATATATATATATATATATATATATATATATATATATTACAAGCTAAAAAGTATATCCGTATGTATATATTCTTTTAATGTAAATGTATATGTATAAACACACACACACACACACACACACACACACACACACATATATATATATATATATATATATATATATATATATATATATATATATATATATGTATATGTATGTATTGCACAAGCTCATGTATATATATATATAGGTATATATTTTCATAATGTAATTGAATATGTATAAATGTTCAAATATCCATATGCATTTAAACACTTATCTCTCACATACTTGCACATATGAATTGTAATGACGCATATTACGTTTATATATAAAGGAATACATATATTGTATAAATGAATACGTATATTATATAAATGAATACGTATATTGTATAAATGAATACGTATATTGTATAAATAAATACGTATCCTGTATAAAATTATGTGTGAAAATTCATGTATTAACTCATACACACAAACGCACACACAGGCACGCAGATACACGCATACATGTATAAAAACATGGAATCATACAGACAGGCATATATATATATATATATATATATATATATATATATATATATATGTGTGTGTGTGTGTGTGTGTGTGTGTGTGTGTGTGTGTGTGTGTGTGTGTGTGTGTGTGTGTTGCTCTTCTTAATTCGATAGAATTGATTTCTCTGGCATGTCTTATTTGAAACTCTCCTTTTTTCAATCATTGTTTTTTTCCAGGAACAGTCTTAGAGGTTTTCCCTCTTGTGTTAGATAAGAATTTTTTTCTTTCTTTTCTTCCAAATCTTTATTAGGTTCTCTCTTTTCAATAGGAAAACTAGCCTTTTCGTCTTCTTGGATCAGGGTCTCTTCGCATTGGCCGACGAGTTTCCCAAACGTTCTCACTATTTTGTTTCTCCTTTTCATCTACATTCTTTCATAGTTTGGGATTTCTTTCTATTAACTATCATTGTTTTTACTTAATTATTCGACTTGTTAATTTTTACCGTTTTTTCACAAAAAAATATTTCTTTTAACGGCCATTTTTCTTTTTTTTTTCTCTCAAAATTCCTGCTTTATTCTTTCCTCTTTTTACCCTTTTTATCTTTGTCCTTTAATGACGTTTCAACTTTTATTCCTTGCCGCTTTTTTTCTTTCGTTCAATTACTTTATTTCTTGTCTTTTTGTTTCCATTTCTCTTAACCTTTAAGTTGGTTTTCTTTCTTTTTGTTGTTGTTGCACTTGTTGTTGTTTTTCTTTGCGACCTTCAACTTTTTTAAAAATTAACTCTTTGTATCATTTTTTTTTTATCTGACTTTTTTTTACTAACACTGTTTCTTTTATCTCCCTTGGCTCCCTTTTCTATACATCTGTTACCTTTTGGATTTGACTTTTTCTTTTTACATTTCGTTTAAAATGTCTTTCTTTCTTTCTTTCTTTCTTTCTTTCTTTCTTTCTTCGGCTTTTGTCTAATTATTTGTTGATTACTTTTCCCACATGCTTTATTTCTTTTTTCTCTTTCTTTTTTTTTTTCATTACTTCCTTCATTGCTTCATTAATTCATTCGTTTGATATATTTCTTTTAATCTTCCAACTTTCTACTTATTTGTCTTTTGTTTTTTCCATTTTTTTGTTATTTCTTTCTTTCACTTTTTCTTCATTTCTTATATTCTTCGAAATTTTCTACTCATTCTTTGACTGACTTATTTTTTTCTTTGTTTTCTTTCTTTCTTTTTTCTTTCTTTTCTTTCTTTCTTTCTTTATTGCTAGCTTGCTTTCTTACTTTTCTTTCTTCGGTTTTTGTCTAATTATTTGTTGATTACTTTTCACACATGCTTTATTTCTTGTTTCTCTTTCTTTCATTTGTTCTTTCTTTCTTTTTCTTTTCTTCCTTCTTTTCTTCCTTCATTCATTCCGGCACTTTTATATATTTCTTCTAATCTTCCAACATTTGTCTTTCGTCATTTCTTTCTTTCACTTTTTCGAAATTTCTTATATTCTTTGGAATTTTCTACCCATCCTTGACTGACTTCATATTTTTTTCTTTCTTTCTTTCTTTCTTTCTTTCTTTCTTCATACTTCTCATTTTCTACCATAGTCTCCTTCTGTTTCTTTCTTCTTCTTCTTCTTCTTCTTCTTCTACCATAGTCTCCTTCTGTTTCTTTCTTCTTCTTCTTCTTCTTCTTCTACCATAGTCTCCTTCTGTTTCTTTCTTCTTCTTCTTCTTCTTCTTCTTCTTCCATATCCTTGTTTCGCGCTGTGTACTCGTGTGCCCCAACAACCCTTTACCGATAACCAAAACATCTCTGTTCGGTAACGAGTTTCGATTCAAAACTATTTAATAGAGCAATCGATCAGTTCGAACACAGGCAAATTCATCAACATCTTGTTGTTATGCATTTAAAGCAAAGGTCAACGAGTACGTATCTCCAGGAGACCGACGTAGTGAGTTTTCTTCTGTTTATTTTTTATTTTTTTATCCTTCTTTCGTCCATTCTACAATATAGTTTATATTTTATTGTATGTATATTTAGTTACGCTAAAAGGCGAGCACCATATTGTATATTTAGAAAAAACATCTGGAAAATTTCAATACATCTTTTAGCAAAAAGTTTTTTTTTTTTTAAGTTGTATTATCTCACTTTCTTTATTCATTTCTTCTCTTCTTACCCTCTTAAAATAGATTAGTATATCTCTGGATATGTGGTTGTACTTATTTATCCACGTATTTTAACATTTATTAGATTATCTGTCTCGGCTTAACTCTCTCTCTCTCTCTCTCTCTCTATCATATCTATATATATATATATATATATATATATATATATATATATATATATATATATATATATATATATATATATATATATATATATATATATATATATATATATACATATATATATATATATTATTATTATGTGTGTGTGTGTGTATTTCTGAAATATAACAGTCTCTTATGTTTAAAGATAGGAGACATTTTTAATATATTCTAATCCTATAGTATTTTAGATAACTTACTGTCTATGGATATATAACAAAATGTACTCAATTCTAAAAATGACAGAGAACCCATATGAACCCACCCCCACATAAACGTAGGATATATATAGAGAAACCCATTCAGATGCATGTATGTATGTATGTGTTTGTGTGTATGTATATTTCAATCTATCAATCTATCCATCCATTTCAGTATCTTCGTATTTTCCGTCTACGAGAGGTTCTTGTAAATTCACGACACGAAGAAAACTCCTTAGCAAAATAAAACTCTGACATGTGGCAAATTGTTCGAATTTTTTTCGGAATTGAGACACTCCGAAAACATTTTATCTATCTATCTATCTATCTATCTCATTCAATTCATGTAATTTTGATCATATCTATCTATCTATCTAACTATCTATCTATCTATCTATCTATCTATCGATCGATGTCCATCTATTCATATGTAAGTCTGTTCATATCTATCTATCTATCTATCTATCGATCGATCGATCGATGTCCATCTATTCATATGTAAGTCTGTTCATATCTATCTATCTATCTATCTATCTATCTATCTATTTCATTTTCTTCATATCTATCTATCTATCTATTTATCTATCTATCTCAGTCAATTCATGTAATTTTGATCATATCTATCTATCGATCGATCGATGTCCGTCTATTCATATGTAAGTCTGTTCATATCTATCTATCTATCTATCTATCTATCTATCTATCTATCCTATTCATATCTATCTATCTATCTATCTATCTCATTCTATTCATATGTAAGTCTGTTCATATCTATCTATCTATCTATCAATCTTATTAGTATCAATCACTATTTCTGGCAATTAATTTGCGAGCTCGGTTGCTGAAATTCTAGCTTGCTAGCTTCTAGCAGTCGTCATTTGTCTTTCTTTTTAGATAAAACGAGGCATTTCGTTATTATTTTCGAGGCACCTCTCTCCCAAATTTAATATATTCCGGAACTTCTATTTTCGACTATTTCGTGGCATAAACATTTCGCTGTCGGCCATAGTCTGTTTTATTTCAACATCATTGTTCCTCGTGTTGATCCTCATCATGATTTCTACACATTCGGATTGTGACAACGGCTATGTTTAGAAAATCATAGGAACTTCGAAGTGATGTAATTTTTAACAAGCTTGTTTCATTAGAACAATTACGAAGGGTTGTGAGTTCGATCCTCACTGGGTGCCTCATAATTTCGGTCTTGTGGTACATCAAAATTACGCATAATTTTTCCTCTTGTAAACGTTCTTTTTGTTTTAATTTTCATCTTTTACTCATGAATATCTAAGTAGATATTTACATACACAAACGTAGAAAATTTTAATCATTTTACAACAAGTAAGGCGATAAAGCCACTAAGACGCTTACTGAGGATGAACGACGATAGAGGGAAGAAAACTTACGACAACTGACTTTCACAGACACTATAGCTCTGGACTTAGGGTTCGATATTGGGGAAATGGGGACAACAATACAGGGCCAGACAGTGTAGAAATGGATTGTCAATGGAGTTCCGACCAACCATGGTGGGGGGGGGGGTGATGATGATGATGATGATGATGATGATGATGATGATGACGATGATGATGATGATGATGATGATGAAGGAAATATTACTGAAAAGAAAGAAGAAATAATCAGACAAAAGACAGCGATTGAATTGCATTTAAATTATAATCAATATTATGTTTTATATTCATTATTAATGTTTTTCCAGTTACGGGTAAAATAGCAGTATAGACAACGTTATTTAGCTTTGGATGGTAGCTAGTCTAAGAGAAGTAAACTTTGAATTCTTAACTGTCTATAAAGCTATATTTTCCAAGAAATCATGGTAATTAGCAGATAACAAAGAAAAGAAATCTGCAGAAATTCAAGATGTCTGTTTATTCTTCATTTTCTTTAACTTACAATTCTTCACATTTGCTTTCTCCCTTTTCTAAGTATTTGGCGTTTTTTTCTTCGTCGTCTTTCACTTCACCCTCTTCTTCTAATTCCTCGTTTTGTTCCGCTTCTAAATCTTCAGCTTTTTCCTTCCTGTGAGTTATGGAATTCATAAAATATGATTTCAGCGGTTTTGTCATGTCTTTGTAGAAAGCAATACTATTTCTACTACTACTGCTACTAATGCTACTACTACTACTATTATAATACTACTATTACTTCTACTATTATTATCATTATTATCTTCACCTTCTGTTCGTCCACAATTAACTACATTTTTCTTTTAATCTTTTCAATTGTAATTCTATTTCCCTCGTTTTACTTTTCTTTCTTCTTTCCCATTCTAATGTGTTTTAGAGCACCTTGCACTTCCTTTTTCCGTATTCTTCTTATCATTCTTCTTCATACTTTCATTAGCATTATCAATTTAATTAGTTCGTTAGTTCACCGATTTCTCATTATTATTATTATTATTATTATTATTATTAACATTTTTTTCTTTTTTCTGCAATTTTTGCTTCTCTCTCTTTTGATTTGTTTTTGCTCTATTTTTTTCTCTTTTCCAAAATTAGTTTTCGTTTTATTTAAACAATTTTTCTTTAATAAAAAATAATTATTATTACGAACATAGAATTTGTTTGTTTGTATTTATACAATTGTATGCGGTGCAAACAGAAGTCATCACTTATTTACGCTTTTCCTTCGAAAAGCATGAGGACATTAAAGCATGAGGTGTTTCCTACTTTCTTCTGGGCAGTATAGCATAAGAACTTTGGCGATCATGGCTCCTATTAAAAGTTGTTTTTCAGATGAGTTCAGTTCAGAGAGGCCAAATTCCGACAGCGGTTCGTATTCACTACTCTTGCTGGTTTTATATAGGTTAATAGTGTCTCTCTATATAAATGAGAACCAGTAATAAGGGGTACCAGAGAAAATCGATAATAACAACAAAAATTGCAATATGAGCTCTAGTAAAAACCTGTAATGATAAAAACAAAAATTGCAATATGAGCACTGGTAAAAAATCGAGCTGAAGACATTATTTTATAATAACTAGAAATTCATACACAGATGTCTTCAAGGGCACATGATACAGTGGATAAAGACGTTGGTTATATCTAGTGACAAAGGATGTGAGTTCAATACTCGGGTAAGGCAGTGGAGAACTTGGAGAGAGGAATTAACAGCTGATAACTGACATCCATTAAACATGGCACGTGAAACTAGAACAGTCTAACCCAGTGAGCGAAATAAAGGGTTCAGTTCGACATTCCAACCACCTGAAAAAGGCCGAAGCTTACAACGGCAGAAACGTTATAATAAATATGTCGACAGAGATGAGGACAGTAGTCCGAATAATGTAAATAGGTGAACTGTGTTCCTAAATAAATAAAACCTATTCGTATAGACGGGAACTATAGTAGATACATTTTTCTCCAAATAGTCATTATCAGTAATTATTGCATTTTCTCTCACAGTTGGAGATATGTCTTTGTGCAACTATCGTAAAAAATGTCACCTACAGATGTGACATACTTTTACATTAAATTGCATTCCCTTCAGTCTACCTGTGATCTCATATAGAGTAAATATTCAAAAATATCTATAAATGGGGGATTTCAATAAAACAACTTTTCTTCGACTGCACTTCGTATGGTCAGTTGGTATGTGTAAACAAGGTAAAAATAGGAGGATTTTTTGACGGCAAAATCAAACCATTACGGCTATACAATCACCATCAAAAGCACCCGTTTTGGACCGACATAATACATAAAGATGCCATTATTTTTCGAGAAACGTATTAGTTTATATATATATATATATATATATATATATATATATATATATATATATATATATATATATATATATATATATATATATATATATATATATAGATAGATAGATAGATAGATAGATAGATAGATAGATAGATAATATTAGTGGTGTATATATATATATATATATATATATATATATATATATATATATATAAATTCCCAAGACGATAGAATCCAGGTAGAACTCAATGTCCAGGACAGAGTAAGAATGTACTATAAAAGGCTCAAACACTAATATGATTTGGATCGTGTTTACTATTCCAGTGTAATAAATTATAACCATGGAATATTAGTGTTTGAGTCTTTTATATATATATATATATATATATATATATCTTTGTTTGTGTGTGTGTGTGTGTGTGTGTGTTCCCAGCAGATGGCTCCAAATTGGTGACAAGTTTCCTCCATACCGCCAAACCATTTTACGATTGCTTTGCAGACCCTTAAATTCGCCTCTATCTTGATACGGTTCAAGTGGGTGAGGCGCCTATTATAAACAGAACCCTAACCTTCATGATTCATCATTTTGTAAGCTCGTGTGCTAAGTCCTGGTTTATATTTTCAATATTCCTTCATGTTCACCTCGCTGATTCGCTACTACAGCTCTATCGACGATCTTACATATTTTGGTTTTCTTTGGTTAACTTTATGGGATTCCAGATTCGCGCCTTGATGCTAGAGTTAATCTCTATCCCAATATACCATTTTCATATTCTTTATATTTCCGAAGATGTGAAGAGATAATTACTTTACATAACTGAACCAATGCCATCGTTATTATTATTATTATTATTATTATTATTATTATTATTTGAGACTTCAGTACGCCAAACAAGTAACGTTGGGGTACAAATATACGAAGTCAAATAAGCCCATCATGACATCCAGTCTCATATGCCTATACCAGAATAATACATCACAGATAAAACTTTGTTGTGATACTGTGCCAGAGCACGTGCTTGGCAAGAGGGGTCCAATTTTAAATACTTTCTGTCTACAGTGTCTCCTAAAATCTAGATGAGACACCCACGTCACCTTAGCTACTTCATCCTTCGAAATAATACAAAAATGGTGTCGTTTCGATACCTAGTCATGATACACCTGCAAAATTCCTGTTCATGAACGAAGATGAACACTGTTTTATCCCCTAGGTGACATGTCCAGATGGTTAAGGACAGGCAACTGACAAGCAATTCTCTAGTACGGAAGGGAATATTTATTCTAGCCCACATTGATTCACCATGGCGAAACATTTACGCATTGAACCCAAAGGCAAATAAGAACAAAAACCAGACCAGTGCATGTTGTACAAATGGAGCATTGTTATTATTATTATTATTATTATTAGATTTATTATTATTTCCTTTGATTTCTGGCGTTTACCCATTTCTTTCCGGGTCCCGCCCAGGGGCCTAAGGTTAGAAATGTCATCATGACACATTCCACTGACAAAAAAATAAAAAAAATACATAGAAAAAGCCCTTCGTAAAGTGTGTGCTGTACTTGTGAGAACAAATTTTTGTATCTCTTTGAGGCATGGACTTCCAGGAATCCCTTCAATTAGTCTACTGGAGTCTTTTCCAACCAATTCTAAAGCTCCAACTACAACAGGGATTTTTGATGTGCCCATGTGCCACGTTTATTATTATTATTATTATTATTATTATTATTATTATTATTAATTCCTTTGATTTATGCTGTATACAAATTTCTTCCCAGTTTCCAACCAATGACCTAAGTTCAGAAATGGCTTCATGACATTTTCCACTGACCAGTTTTATAAAAAAATATAAAAATAAAAAAACTAAGATAAAAGACATTTTACAAAGATAAAAGTTCTTCGTAATGGGTGAACTGTACTTATGAGTAGAATACTTTTTTATTCCTTATTTTGTATTCATGGCCGCTACAAGGAATTCCTTCAATGAGTCTATCAGAATTATTTTCTAATTACTCCGAGGGCTTCAACTACAACAGCGATTCTTGATGTTCTCATGTGCCACATTTATGA